GGATATCCAACCATATCAAAGATTCTTTGAAGTCTTTTATCTAAAAGACCCAGAACTTGGAGAAATTTCTTTCATAAAAATAGATTCTCTTAACACTTTCCTTGGACAAGATGTAGAGAGAAATGTTTCTGGCTGCATGGGCAACTACTGACCTCCCATAAAATTCTGCCTAAGTTTGGATGCTGGAGAGGACACTCCATCCAAAACATGTTCCAGATAAAAAAAAAAAAAAACCCATAATATCTAGAGACTGAGGGATACATACACAATTCATTAGTAGGGGAGATCAGCCTGTTAATACATCACTTTTTATATCTTGGTCTTTCATCTTACCTTTCTTCAGATATTTCTACCTTTTAATGACTTAAAAAGCTGAATTATTTCTTGTGTCTGACAATCAAGTTAATTGTAAAAATTTAAATTCTTTATTTCTTATAACAAAACATAATCAGAGCCATTGCAAGATTTACTTAAGATTTCTTGTATATTACTTGTAAACTAATACATTTTCATTATTTACACTATTTACATGCAGAGAATTATCTTCATCTTTGTTGTTTTTATCACATTTCAGCCATTGTCATCTGATCTTTATCAGGTGTGTATCGATCCAGGTAACTTACACAGAATTCTGAACTGAACACTTTATTTAATCTAGCACTCATCAACAGGCAGGTTAGCTTCAAGTTATCCACAGGGAATTATCCTATTGATTAAAGTTTTGGTTTGTGAAGTTGGTGACATAAAAATTCTGAGTTCAATCCCTGGATCAGGTATTGTGTAATTGAACTCAGAGGAAACAGTGGAGAGAAATAACTGAGTCGTAGTAAGAATAAGAACTAGACGAAATATCCCTAGACATGGGCAGTGGAATGAGAACAGTCTACCACCGCAAATTCAATAAAGAGTTCAGTTCAAAATTCCCTGTAGGTTACCCGGATCAGTATACACTTGAGGAAGCATGGAGAGCACAATGGCTGAAGCATGATAACAAGAACAAAGATGAAAATAATATATTTTCATAGAACTAGTAAGCTGATGGGAGTTTGATTCTGATTCAGTGGGTTTTCAGTTTCAAAAATTTGCTTAAAACCCTTTTAATATATTTTCAGTAATTACAAAAAACAAAATTTATTGTGTATGGTATATTTTGTCTTTATAAAGACTGTCCATCATTGTATCCACCCTCATCCTGGCAACTCTGACAATGATGTTAGTCTCAACTAGACATGCTACATGAGCAACTGCCAATCTCCCATTAAAAAAAAAAAAAATCTATCACCAGGCACATATCCTTGATCTCTAAAGGCCAGTGAACACCACACACAAAATGTTGTTTATTCTTTAATTTTCTTTTTCTCAATCTATAACTTTATTGAATGCAACAAAAAGAATGTAATATAGAGAATAACAAAAAAATGCTGAACATAAGTCTGCCTGTGCATCTTGTTCTCCATTTTTGTTTTGCTTGTATGTTGTTATTCAGTTTAGGAAGAATGTTTTCTTTTTTTTCAAAAGGTACAAACTCTGTCCCATAAAAGTTGCTACATTTGCATATATATTTTCAATATATTAATGTAACAACTGTTATGGGACAGAAGTTGTATTCATCACTCAGACTTTACTGTTTGAATCATCAATGACTAAACTTCTTGAATCTTAATTTTTGTCACGTTAACATGAAAACTGCATGTACCAAAAGAATGTTCATATGCATTTCTTTTCCAATTAATTGCCTTTAATTTTTCACTCCTATTTCACAAATCTTTATTTTATAAAACTGGGATCAAATGATACAGAAATAGAAAAATCAAGATTGAATAATATATAAATCTTCAGAAAATAGAACCAGGATCAAATGATATATCAGTTTTTACATAATGATATAAAGCTCATTATATAATTTATATAACCAGGGTCAAATGATATCTAAGTCTTTATACAATAATATAGATCTTTTTATATAATTTATATAATATAACCAGGGCCAAATGATAAATAAGGCTTTATACAATAATGTAGAACTCTATATAATATAACCAGGGTCAAATGATATATAAGGCTTTATACAATAATATAGATCTTTTTATATAATTTATATAATATAGCTATGGTCAAATGATGTATCAGTTTTTACATGATAATATAGACATCTATATAATTCATATAACAGAACTAGGGTCAAGTTTAATTTTGCAGCATCAGGTACATATTTCTTTCTGTTTTTAATAAACAATTCTATTGCTTGAATTTCTTATATAGAATTTAGTTTTTTGTTAGAATTATCATGAGTGGCATGCCATTCTTTGCTGGAGTTTAATTGGAGTTTAATACAAGGACTAGTTTTTCAGGTTCTTTAAATAACATTTATATGTTAGATACTTTTATATTTGGACTAACATTCTCATCACAACATTTGTTTCAGATATTGTAACCTCTGACCTTTTTCAGCTGTCTCTTATACTGTGTAATCATCTCAGAATTTTTAACCAAATCCTTTATTCAATTACGAGAATTATTCCTTGAAAAAATATTTCCCTACTTCTTTTTTTTTTTACCAGCGAAGAAATTAATGAAAAGATGGAGGTTACTTTTCTTGTTCAGATAACAGTCTATGTATGTTTGACATTTATCATTGTTGTTCTTTATTTAGAAAAATAAATTTATTTGATTGTCTTCGTGTTCAGACATTTATAATGTTTGAAATGCATCTGAGGCTGGTGCAGTTGTTATCAACTTGGAAAATGGAATTAGAAAAGCTGAGTTTAAATTTCTATTTAGTTTGTTATACTCAGATTGTATTATGCTAATATTCTCGAGAAAGGCATGGGTACATTTGCCCGTCGCAGCCCCAAGCTTTGGGTTAAATATGAGGAAAGACAGGGCTCTGCAGCATTGTCTGGCATCCAGCCTAGGAGAAGGACAATTATTTATTCAAAACCATGGAGAAAGCAAAAGGAAAGCACTTCACTATCTTTCCCAACAAGTCATAGCAATTCATGGATAATAAAAAAACATGTTCTTAGTAAAGCCATAATCATTCATATCCTGAACAGACATGGCATTCAAAAAAATGAAACGTTTGATGATTCCAAATATGATAAGAGACATTTAATCTGACCATTTTTTTAAAACTTACAACTTCCTTATACAAACAACTGGATGTCGCCACATCATCTTATGACCTTTTAAACTGTCAATGCCCACCATCCTGAAAATAAGATGGTGGTTAGTAAAGAGTTAGAAACCAGATTATTTTTAAAAGTTGTGTTCCTTTTTATGCTAATGATCTTGAGAAATGCATGGATCCATTTCTTCACCTCAGCCCACAGCAATGGGTTAAATAGTAGATGGGACTCTGCAGCATTGGTTGGAAGCCAGTCTAGGAAAAGATCAACTATGAATTCAAAACCATGTATACAACAGGAATGCACTTCACTATTTTTCTCAATAGGCCATGGTAATTCATAGATAATAAAAAATGAATTCTGAGGAGAACCACGATCACCAATATCCTGAAGTGAGATGGCCTTTACAAACAATTAAAAAAAATAATGTTGAGGGTTCCAAATATGATGAGACAACTTTTGTCTGACCTTTTGCAACTCTTTTCTATAAAGTCTGATAACTGGAGATTGTTAATATACACCATCTTGAAAATCAGATGGTTGGTATTAATGAGTTATAAAACTCTAATTAATACCAGATTTTGTTTTTTAGTGTTTTGTAATGGATATTTTTTCATAGTATATACAGAAATATATAAAACAAAAGGGGAGGAAGAGTAAGGTTAAAAAAACAATTACACTCTGTAAAGGGTTGGATCAAAGAAATAGAACAACAAAAAAAGGTGCTAAGTAGTTATTGTTCCTCACTCTTCAGAGACAATCAAGTACAAACTAATAATTATATGGACACTGACTAGAAAAGGAGAGAAAAAATTCTACAAGAAAATTGGCAGTATAAATTGCAGACAGGTTATATTAAGACTCAGCAGCCATTCCTTCTGTAAGCAGAAGGAATACTTATTTTTCAATCAGCTGCTTTACGGTAAGTATTTTTTTTTTTTTTGCTTATCCTCAATCTTCGTCACACTTTGTTTTAATATATTCATGTATATATTCTTTACAAATGTGCACTTTTAAGACCCTAATAAAATTTTGTATTCTACTCACACATTAAGATTTTTTGTAAACCTATAATTATTACCAATGTAAACATACATTTTGATTCTCAAACTTGTTGGTGTGCACCTGCTGCATGCTCGCAAACTAACAAGATGAAAAACAAATTCCATGTTGAAAAATAAGAACATGAACATTGTTTTCTGTATTATATGTACATTTTTCATTAAAGGTTTTGCCAGCTCACCTAGGTGGATAGGTAGATGACACATTGGACACCTATATTGATCTTGTAAATCAGCTCTTTCTGCTACCAATTCCTTGACCATCTACACATCCTAATGTGGCAATTCAAGTTGGTGACATTGGAACAACCTGACAGACAATTCTATCTCCCGCTTAGGGTGGACCAACCAGAACTAACTCTCTAATCCCAAGCATGACTGTTAATATAGACCAGTACTTGGATACCCTCTATTTCCGGTATTGTTGTCACTTGATCTCCCAAAACTCCTCATCCATTCCTTTACTTCCCTGTTCCCCTTTCAGTCAAAGATGATGCTGCTTAAAAGACCAGACTTCAAAAAGAAACACTTGAGATCAAGAAAAAATTACACCTTCCCCCTCCACATGGATCTCCTTAGTGTCTCACATTTTTTTTATAAATCTATAATTAATCTGGATTTTTATTTTTATAATTAAGATCAAATTTTATGCTAGTCATTAATGACTTCAAAGATTTTCAATTTGATTGAATTTGAGCAAATCTTTGAGATTCTATCATTAACAAAAAAAAAAAAAAAATGAAAACTGACATCTTGAAACATTTCTTAATTTTTATTTTTTTTTTTCATTTCTTTCTTGTTTTTCTCCCAGAATGGAGGTCAAGACCGAATCTTGGATGTAATTGGAAGATCAATGGTAAATTATCCCGGTAAACAACAGGTAGCATTCTAATTTATTACTTACTCCCTTTCTCTTGTCAAGTATTTTAATCTTTAATATATAAAAATGATTATTTTATTTATTTAATTCTAACACCTATCTGAAATTTGAATATAAACTATGATGCCAAAAATGTATAAACGAGATTACCTTGGATAGTTTCATTGTCCTCACACTGATAGTAATATAATCTGCTGCCTGTCATATATGTGACAACAGGTAAAGAGGTAGTGTAGCTGTGGCAATCATGAGACGCAATGTGTTTTTTTCTTTTTTAAATGCCATGTCTGTTCAGGATGTGAGTGAGTGTGGCTCTACATAAATTCCTTTGTTTTTTTTTATCTGTGAATGGATATCTTTGTTTCACTAGCATATGTATACAAGGAGACAGTCAAATTAAATCAGAATTGATGAATTAATTTTATCAATTCTCCAATGCTGTTATCATCATGAAGTACTCAAAGCCATAATGCAACACTTATGAATGACTCACATACTCCCACGTATACACACACGCATATATATATATATATATATATATACTTCATTCAACAATATATGCTTATATACATGCAACAAACTTTTCCTTATTTAACAGTTAAAATATTTTATCTTTGAAAATCACTAAATGTATAGCCAAAAGTGCTCAGGCTAAAAGAACATTTGGACAGTTTTTATATAATTTATCATCTGAAAAGAAAAAATTATTAGATCGCATGAGAAATTGTATAAAAAAGCTAAATCAAAGCACCTTGTCTGTTGTATTCAATGAAATGTGCATGAAAGAAGGATTGCTGCCTAAATACAAAAATATTTACATATATATATATACAGACAGACTGTTTCGCTGTATCACAGCTCCTCAGTGTGGCTAGATGTTCAATTGCTTCAAGTTGTGATCAAAACCCGACTGAATTAATATCAGATATTTTAACCCTAGGCCATTGTTGCACAGCAGGAAGGAAGGGGATTTTAACCTTTTTCTCTCTGCGAAATATGCCAGCAGCTCAGAGAACTCATACTTAAAGAGTAATGCTTAATAGCAGTAGGAGCTGCTGTTTTTTAAAACACCTTTCCTAGAGAGCTCAACTGGATTTCCAGGAGCATATACATACATATATATATATATATATATATATATATATATATATATATATATATATATATATATATATACATATAGAGAGCTCAACTGAATTTCCAGGAGCACATACATACATATATGTATATATATATATATATATATATATATATATATATATATATATATATACACTAGAGAGCTCAACTGGATTTCCAGGAGCATATACATACATATATATATATATATATATATATATATATATATATATATATATATATATATATATATATCTCAAATAATAATAAAAATGCTACAAAAATACAGTGCTCAATGTAAAATATAAAAAATATATCGAGAGCAATATAAAAAATGTAATATAAAAAAGACATTTATATGTCACTGTTTCGACAACTTCATGAGCTCACATGATTTTTTCTGGGCAGTTGCACAAACATAAGCTGTGGGAAAAGACAAACATGATTCTGAATTAATAGGCTATTGTGTAACCTATACTATATGTTGAGGAACAAGGAGAGCAGGTCAAGGACATTGAAAAAAATGGTTATTTCCATTGCCAGCATAAGTTTTCCATATAAGTTGTGCTACTCAGGAGACCTGGACGCATGTATTAAAGAAGAGAAGCGTGTGAATAAAGGCTTTCAGATCATTATAAACAAATGTTCTTAATCAAAAAATTATTTTTATGCCTGCAGACACACATGAGTTCTTGTCTTCTGTTTTGCATTTTGACATCACCCATCCCCATCAAGATTGCCAGTTTTCCAGAGATGCATGAATTACATTTACTCCACTTACCACTAAACACATGCTCAGTACATAAAATTACCCAATCACTTGTGGGATCTGGCTCCTTTTTATCTTCCAATTGTATGTGGACAATATGGTATTTTTGTACTTTTCATTAATTTAGCTTACAACTGTAATATCTCTTTTTCCACTCTCCTCAGCAGCTCCAGTGTAACCCCCACTCGTGATGAATTATGGCCTTGTAAACTACATTTTTTGTTAAACATTTGCCCTTCAGTGGACAGTCTTCTTTGCTTTGGCAGTTGCATGTCCTGACATTATTAACTGTAACTTTTTCTATGTTCCTTCAGGATGTTGGCAATCATTGCTCTGCACAATATCCTGTCCTTTTTAGCTCTTAGTAAAGTTTTTTTTTGTTATCTCTCCTAAAGCCTATTTGACCATCCATTTACACAAGTTTGTTAGGTAGGTCATACAATGTTTTCATCTGTCCCTCTTGCCTTCAGTATGTCCTGTTAGTGTCAACTGTTTGAAGCCGTCTTCCCCATTATCTACTTTAGCATTATATCCTCTATGGCTTTCTGAAGTTTCCATTTTCTCTAAAAAAATTTTTATTCTTGCTCAGATGTTCAGTCCATGTTATTCTCAGCATCCTTCTGCAGAACCACATTTCTGTTACTTGAAGTCTCTCCTTCATTCATGAGGAGATTGTCCAGCAGTCACTGCCTCATAGGAAGAATAATATATTGTGTATCAGTTCGGTACTATTTTCTTTGCTACTAATGAAATTTTCCTGTTTCTTAATACTTTGATTAGCCTTTTGGAATGTATTTTTGGCTGTCTCAGTGCACCTTTCTGCTTTCAAATATTTCATTTGTGATTGCTGATCATTTCAGCCATGTTTCCTGTGCAGCTATAACTAACTTTTATGTTACTCTTATTGAACAATTTTTTAGCAGTTTGTTGCCAGCCAATTTCAAACTTTACAAGTTTAAAGAATATTTTTGTGACATTAGATTTTATAGTACTGCTGAAAGAGGCTTTAAACCAAATTATTCTCCTGTTACATTTTTTTTTACTACTTTTATTTACTCAACAGTAACTTATATTATGATACTATGGCTACTTTCTGCCAGTGGACTTAATCAAATTCCTTCCGTCCTGGGTATGACGATAAACTATGTCCAACAGTAAGATCAGGAGGTTTTGAGGAGCGTGGAACCACTTCTTAATTGCTATCGTTCCCAGGTCCACCCTGACCCAGGGTGGTAACACCTGTTAGGGTCCCAGCTATAAATAGTTGACCCCCAAACTTGTGTAAAAATAGGTTTTAATATCAGAAATACTTTGTAATAAAAAAAAATATTACCAGCAATAATTTTTGAAGGAAAAATTATTATCAGCAATACTTAAAAAAAATAGCAGCAATACAAACAGCTATACATTCTTTGGAAAAAATATGACCAGCTATAGATTTCTTCAAGGAAAAATATTCCCAGGAATAGATTTTGAAGAAAAACATATTACCAGCAATTTTATTGGCATTAAATAACCCATTGAAGTTGATATTCCTTTCTCACAGACCTAAAATCGATTTTCATTCTTAGGAGTTAATTTCTTAATTTATTGGGGTTTTTTTTTTTTTTTAAACATTGTGCCCACAATTTATGCTTATGTCTTTGACTGGCTCAAAAGAGCATGGATCAAAATCTGGTTAGCCTAATTTTTGTTTGTTTCTTGTTTTTTTTTTATATTGTTTCAATTCACCCCTTTACTGCAATTTATCCTTTCTCTTCTTCCTTGTTTGTTTTATTTTTCTCATATTTATTGTTGTATATAATTATATATCTAGAGAAGTAAAACTCTGATTTTAAACCTCTGCTGCTTTGCAGCCATACCCAATCATGGGAAAGACTTTGGGAGTAAACCTTGAGGACAAATCCGGAGCAGGAATCCATAAGACAGTATGATATTATGTTCAAGTTAATTCTGGCAACTCCAGAGATGATGCTGTATTGGCCTCTACTTTTCACTTTAACAACATCGGTAACATGAAGAGGGGAGACATGCAACCACCAATCTCTTATAAAACCCTGCCCAGTCTTTCACCCTGGAGAAGACACTCCATTACCTCATTGTGATGACAAAACATAGGAGGCAGCAGCAATCCACCAGTTATGAGTTAATCTGTGCCACCATCAGGCATGACACTTTGAGTGCAGATCCATTGTCTCTCAAGACCAACGAATGCCATGTAAATTACATATTTGAAAACTGACAATTGAATATTTTTTTTTTTAATCAAGTTTACCCCAAGTAAGGTAGTAAAGCCACTGACAAACAAAGCGCTACTGGGTGTGGAAGAGTAAGAACAAGAACATTGCTATGGAGTGAGAACAGAGGAAAAGTAATTGGGACGACAGTAGATAGTGACTGACATTACATTTAAACTTTTACAGATTAAAATTGGCTAGAAAGCATGGAGCTGGAGGGAGTTCCACAAGCAAGAAGTGTGAGAAAAGAAACTGTTAGGATAGACTTTATGGTTACATCTAGCCAGCTCAACTGTAACTTGAAGAGACGTTATCACCAACGCCAGTACTGTGTTTAAATTCAAAGCATCTAGGAACCATTACAATGAAAGTATTTATAGAAAAAGCAAAGTGAGGCAACTTTATGGCAGTGGGAAAGTAACTGAAGCCAAGATGCCATGTGGGAACCAATAATATTGCTGACTCTTCTTTGGATTTTATCAAGGAGCTCGAGATAGATAACAAGATCACCAGACTATATGTGGCAGCAATATTCTAATAATGGTAGAATTATAGATATTTAAGATAAACTCTAGAGAGTTAGCCTCTTTTTTTTATTATTTTCTTATTATTGTTTCGATTCATCTCATTACTCTGATTTTATTTTACTATCCTTGCTCTCCTTTCCCCTGCTGTTTTTTTCTTAACTATAATTTTAAAATGTTGATTTTGATAGAATTAATAAAATATTCAAATGTAGTTGTCAAATGGGTGAGGGAAGTGTATATGTGTCAGTATTGATGCAGGACTGTGTAGATGTCTTAGTCACTAGTATAAATAGTAGGATGTAGGTATTATATGTGAGACTATGTAGGTCACACATAAGTGTCATATTT